GGGGGGGGCAGTCACTGAGCGGGGAGCAAAGCAAGAGGGGCTCCAAACACTAGCGGGCCCTGAAGGCTGAGGACTTTGGAGAGTACTCTAGGCAACCAAAAAACCATCAAAGATTTGGGGAGAACATAACATAATCAGGTAATACCTGTTTTTAAAGATAATTTTGGTGGGAATAGATGGAATGGATTAAAAAAGAATATTAGAAGCAGAGGAAAGTATCTTCCTAGCCCAAACAGGAAGTTATTATGAATTATGAAAGAATAGGAAGTAAAGACATTATGAGACAATATATTTTCCCATAGCATAGGTTCCCAATTTATGGGGGCCTATGACCCCCTTTACAGAAAATCACTCAGTTCAATTTAAAATGTTTGAACCACAGCCTATAATCCAGAATAAAGTGTAGGTATATGCTTTTTCAAAGGAGTTTTGGTAGTGTAGTAGCTTGACTAGGTGCAACTGGTCAAGGGGCTGCTAACCGCAAGGTCAGCAGTTCAAGCTACCATCTGCTCTGAGGGAGAAATTAAGGACTTCCAGTCTCAGACACCACAGAGGCAGTTCTACTCTGTCCTGTGGGGTTGCTATGAGCTTGAATCCTCTCAATAGCAGTGAGTTTCATTTTTCAGATCTGCTTTTTTAGTGTCACTGTCTCCCACGTGCCAACCCCATCCCCACACCCCAACCACTCCACCTCAAATTAGCTGCCGTTGCCCAATGTCGGAAGCACTGCTTTATCGGGTCTCTGTGAGTCAGAATTGATTAGCAGCTGGTTGTTTTATTCGTCATTTGTCATATCAACTGCCATTAAGTCAATTCCAATTCATAGTGGCCCCACCTAGGGTTCTAAAGACAGTAAGTCCTTATGGACTCAGTTAGCCTCATCTGACTCCCAAGGAACAACTGGTGCTTTTGGACTCCCGACCTCACAGTTCGTAGTCTAATGCCTAGCCCACAGTGCCACCTCCATCGATAAACTGTCTTGTAGAATTTATCCCCAAGAAAAAGAGCTGGCATTTGAAACCAACTGTTAAACGCAGTCTTTAGATTTTGTTCTTAAAAATAAAAATATACAACAATAACTCAGATAGGATATTATTCACCAACAATGAGAAATGGAGGCAACTTGTCAACAAAAATTAAGTGCACGCCAAGATTTTTAATGACCTGAATAGACTTTGTAGACTAGAGTTCAAATTGACTTAAGAGAAATTTAATTTCAAATCATGAAAATCTTCCCTTCACAAAGACAAACAAGGGTCACATATTTTCTTTTGCTCCTTTAGTTTTTCTCCGAAAAATAATATGGAAAAATATATATATACTCAAGAAAGCAATTACTTTTCTACTGATTCACCTGTGAAAGAAACAGTTTCATTTCTACATCCTTCTGTACTAAGGTATGCCTTACAGTGTTTAGACATTACAAGCATCACTGGGTATTATTTAAACTACATATCCTAGGTAAACTGATTTTAACAAAAATCTAATATTAGACATTTTTAATGAAATTGGATAAATATAATTTACTTCTTTTAGCACATGTTTCGGGATACACTTCACCCAAAATTGGAGACGCGCATGTGTTTACAAACCCTGTTAAAAACCTTTAATAAGAGAAGGTTAAGAAGCAATGTGAGTCAAGAAAAAAGTTCATTTTTGAAAACTATTAAGTTCCAGGCTTCAAATAGTATGCTTGATCTTAAGGGCTTGAAGTAGCAGTGTGTCAAGTAGCATTTAACCAGTATAGGCATGGGCAAGTGCTCTCTCTGTGTGTATGATCCTAATCTAGCATTTCTAAATACATTAATGATACAATGTTGTTAATCAAATGATTAACATAAATTGGAAACATGTTATTTTTACTAGTAAACTTCAACAGTTGATGGCTTTCTTCATAGAAACCTCCTATTGTTTTTATAATATAAGAATTGTAACTTCCCAAATGAATCTTTAAAGTGTTACATAAATTTATGTATTACTTGTTCTTATGGACTCTCATATCAAATCCCATACAGAAGTCAAATAGGCAAAAAAAAGTCTTTACCATCATTTTGTGTTCTCAAAATAGTTGGCAAAATTGGAACTCTGTAAAGCATTATCTGTCTAGAAGTCCATTAAAAATATTGTAAATCCATTTTTTTGCTATCCAACAAATATTGGCTGAATGACTATTGTGTGCCTGGTACAGTTTTAGATACAGAGAAGCTAAATGAGTGGCTTCAGTGCCACACAGACACTTCATAACAAAGCCAGAAAAATTAAAAAACAAACACTTCAATAACTAATTCAGATGCATTGCTTTGTTACATAGTAGAAATTCACCCATCCCTGTATCTAGTCAATCCCATCTCCTCATCATCAGGCCATTCAAAAGTTATGTTTTTAACGTTTAAAATTTTTATTTTTAAGAGCAGTATGCATAT